GGTCTGACACTGAGGAAAGTATTCTATTCACTTTTTCTAATTTATTCCTCATGGAAGCCTAATCATGAAAGTATTGTCTCCATCGCAGAGAAAGGAAAACTAGGAGCTCCAAAGCATTCTTATCCAAAGCCACAGGGCTAGTAAATAATGGAGCTAGGAATTCTATCCCAGTGTATGTGTCTCCGGAGTCTATGCGCTTTCTATGAGCTAACGACATTACACCAACACAGTGGAGATGTGAATTCAGCTGTAAAAAGTTCCAAAGTCCACGTTATAAGCATGTGGCACAGTGGTGGACTCCTGGTAAGCATGAGCAACAGATGGTTCAAGGCAGCTCCTTTTATTTTATTTTTTATTAGTCTCAGAGGTAGAATTGAGCGATTCATCGGATGCATGTAAGACCCAGTGCCCTCCTTAATGCCCATCACCCAGTTACCCTTTCCCCCCACCTACCGCCCCTCCAGGAACCCTCAGTTTGTTTCCTAGAGGCCAGAGTCTCCTATGGTCTGAAAGGCAGCTCCTCCTAAACAAATGCCAGACTGTGCTCAAGTTGAGAAGCTGGTGGGGTGAACGGGAGCAAGGTCTACGCGGAGTGACTCAGGCCTCGGATGAAAGACCTCTGTTCAGGGGCAATGCTGTGGAAGGACTCCTGATCACAGGTGAGGTTTGTCTGCCATCTCCTCGCACACACAGACGATAATCACTACCACTGGTTAGTGCACAACCGAAATATGATGGGCCCAGAGGTAAAATGAAAATTTCATATCTGTACTTTAGAAATCTGAGTGTTTCGTAAATATGAGGCATTACAATGATTTAGATTCCACAAAGTGGTCTGGAAACAGGAACGGTTTTATCAGATGGGTATCATAAAGCTCACTGACGGCCAAGACAATGGTGCCAGAAAGGAATTAGGTACAGACTACTCAGGGAAGCTTTGTATAATGCCAACTTGGACTTTTCTTCTCTTTTTATTCCCACCAAAGCATGTTTTGGAAAATCTATGTATGTCTCCTATTGTATAGAGAACTTCAAAAGACTGAAGTGGACCACTGCAGAAACCTCAGAATACTGTCTGGAGAATACTTCAAATATTTCCAAAACACATCAGTATAAAACATCTGCACTATAAATTAAAGATGCCAATTGGGTTGCCAGTAAAGGCAAAGTTTAATATTCCCAGATGTTATTATATAGTATCTTATGATATGTTGGCTGAATAGAATATGCACATTTGTACCATGGTATTTTTTCAAAATGTAAATCTAATCCCTGGGGATATAACAATAGCAAGACTGAATAAATTGTCTGAAAAGTAAAATTTGTATTTCTCTCTTTTTTTTTTATTGTCAGCTTAAAAGATGGGGAAAGGGAAAAAGCAAGAAAACTGATTCTTCTATTAAATGGTACTTTGTCATATTGAGGTAGAAAAATCTTTTTTTCTGAAGTGTAATTCATTTATAACATTATATTAGTTTTGGGGGTATAAGATAATGATTTGATATTTGTATAGTTGCTACTATGATCATCACCATAAGTCTCATCACCATCCATCCCCTAACATAGTTACAAATTCTTTTCCTTGTGATGAGAACTTTCAACATTAACTCTCAGTAAACTTCAGATATACAATACTATGTTATTGGCTATAATCACCATGCTGTACATGATGTCCCATAAATTACTTAGTTTATAACTAGAAGTCTGCAGCTCTTGACCCCTTTTTATCCATTTGGCCCACTCCCCAACCCAGCTTCCCTCTGGCAACCACCAGTCTGTTCTCTGGGTCTATGAGCTCGGTTTTGTTTTCTTTGTTCATTTGTTTTGTTTTCACATTCCACATATAAGTGAAATCATATGGTATTTGGCTTTCTCTGACTTATTTCACTTAGTACCATATCCTGAAGGTCCATCCATATTGTTGCAAATGGCAAAATTTCTTTTTTGTGGCTGAGTAGTAGTCCATTGTGTGTATGTGTGTATACATGTATATACACCACACATTATGTATATATACCATACATATGGTGTGTGTGTGCATGTGTGTATATACGTATCACATCTTCCTTTTTTTAAAAAAACATTTTTATTTATTTATTTGATGGAGAGAGACCACAAGTAGGCAGAGAGGCAGGCAGAGAGAGAGGGGGAAGCAGGTTCCCTGCTGAGCAGATATCCATTTGGCCCACTCCCCAACCCAGCTTCCCTCTGGCAACCACCAGTCTGTTCTCTGGGTCTATGAGCTCGGTTTTGTTTTCTTTGTTCATTTGTTTTGTTTTCACATTCCACATATAAGTGAAATCATATGGTATTTGGCTTTCTCTGACTTATTTCACTTAGTACCATATCCTGAAGGTCCATCCATATTGTTGCAAATGGCAAAATTTCTTTTTTGTGGCTGAGTAGTAGTCCATTGTGTGTATGTGTGTATACATGTATATACACCACACATTATGTATATATACCATACATATGGTGTGTGTGTGCATGTGTGTATATACGTATCACATCTTCCTTTTTTTAAAAAAACATTTTTATTTATTTATTTGATGGAGAGAGACCACAAGTAGGCAGAGAGGCAGGCAGAGAGAGAGGGGGAAGCAGGTTCCCTGCTGAGCAGA